CAGGCTTGTTGGAGGTACCAAAGCCAGCTCTGAGTTATATTAGGGGGGGTTAGAGGTATGGAGACAACAGGAAAGGAAAGGGAGGGACAAATCTGAACCACCCTTGTTAGAAGCTGAAGCCTTTAAACCTGACTGCGGCTGGGAAACACAAACCTGCAGTGGTACTCAATTCAGGTTTCACGGCTGGCTAAGGAAAGAGAGCAAAGCAGCCTAGACGTTAGGAATCCCAGGAATAAAGCAAAAACACGGAGGAGGATTGCCTCCTTTCTGATTTGACCTACCAGTATTCACTTTTGAGGTGACGTGACCTACATCAATTTTCTGGGACCTGATGAGAGGCACGGCTTTCATGGAAGGAGCGTGTGTTATGTTCTTCCTTCGATCTTTCGCTTTACTTATCTTTGAAAGAGGTGCAAATATACCTAAGAGACAGGGAAGAATTTAGGTCAGTGTAAACAATTTAAAGCATTTCAAATAAAGGGGCAAGTATAAATGCTTGGTGACATAAATCTGCAAGTTCCTTCTTAGAGCCTAATACAGGTCCTGTAGTGAGGGACAGAAAAGCAAGTAAAGTGGTACTTTTCCTCAAAGAGCTTACAGTCTAGTTAAGACTCACACCAGTGATGGTTTAAGAACCACATAAGAGATAAATAACCAGGTGGTAAGAAACTGGGGGAAAGGGAAATGATTTAAAGTAATAGTGCTCTATTATTTCTAAGCTACCGGTAAATAAAAATGCAGTATATAATATAAAAACCTATTCTTCCATGTCACTTTATAACTCCTCAGGATTTATGTTTTTCTCACATTATAGCCTTTTATGCCATGTCTTACCTCTCTTCCCAGACTTTATACCTTTTAAAGACAAAATTCAAACATTACTCATCTCCGCATTCCCCACTGTGCCCAATTACAGTGCCTTACATATGGAAGAGATGCATTCTTTTGCCTATAAAATATAGTTTTCCCGAAAGGCCTGGCCCTCAGTTCCTGACAATTGGAAGCAACCCATAGTGTGCTGCGGAGAGCAGGATGGGGGTGGGGGTGGGGGCTGCCTGTCGCAGCTGGGAGCACAACACTCCTTCAGAAAGGAGTTGACAAGACAACAAAATATCCAGCCCAAGTATGCAGAGCGGAGAATGCCAAGTCTACCTCCAGGGCGTTTAAAAAGAGAAAGTGAGGTCATCACATATGGAGGTCACACTCTTTCATTTATTGTTTACAACCTAACAAATACATATTATGACCAAAAAGTAACATATTAAAAACAATTTGTTTCACAGCCAGGTAGAAATGCTAAAGGACAATACAAAAACCAAGTGCACTATTCACAGATAAAAAGTGTCCCCTGGATCTCTTTTCTGCTCATCTTGAAACGCTTTCCTGCCTTGGATCCCATACCTCGCCCTGGCTTTCCTGACTCTCCTTCTTTCACTTATTTGCCATTTTTCTCCTGTCTCCTACTCATGAGCTTTTCCTTGTCTCTCTACTCTTCTCAATTCTTACAGCCTAACACAGACACACACACACACACACACTTTAAAGCCCTACGATGACATCTGGTATTGCTGAGGGTTTGAAGACACAAATTGTTGCTCTGGGGATGTAACTTTGTACAATCTTTCTGGAACACAAAAATCCTGACATAATCAACCTTATGGAATTAATTGTAAAGAAATAATGATGCTTAGAAGTGCACACAAAGATTAAAAGTTTACATTTCTGTAGTATAAGGAAAAGACAGATTTCACAAGTCAAAACCATTTCTAGCTACTAGAATGTCCTAATTTTTAATTTACTACTATATCTCAATCACACTTTCAGAAATTAATCATGAGGAAATAATCCAAGTAGGAGGAAAAGACTGTACACCTAAATATGTCCTTACTGCAACACTACTTGTAAGGAGGAGAAAACAAAGTTGTCTGGTAACAGGATTAATCATATCTGTGAACTATAGTTGTGCCCCTTATCCACAGTGGACACATTCCAAGATGTTCTGCAGGTGGCTAAAATCACAAGCAGTACCAAACTCTGCACATATTGAGTTATTTTCTTATATATACTGAGCTCAATAAAGCTTAATTTATAAATCAGGCACAGTAAAAAATCAACAACAGTAATAATAAAATAGGATAAGTGTAACAGTATACTGTAACAAAGGTTATGTAAATGTACTCACTATCAAAACCCCATCCTGTATTGTACTGTATTTTTTGGTCTATATCTGACCATAGTTAACTGAAGCCACACCAAGCAAAACCAAGAATAAGGGGGACTGCTGTGCTGTATCACCATTGACAAATAAGACAATTATACAATAATATTGAAAATGTGAGAAGTAAATCAAGAAGACAAAAATCAAGTTATATGTTTTATACATTATTAAAATACAATATTACCTTTATTAAAAAATATTCCATGTGTAGATATAGATAAATAAATGGGAAAACTAAAAATTAATGCACATAAAAATAGTATGAATTATTTTTCTAATTTACTTGATTAGTATCAGTAATATCGTAATAATGGAGTTCAATTAGTTATTTTTTTTTTCTGAATCTCAGGGAAAATATATGGTTTTTCTTTCAAGGTCTGACCAGAAATTTTCCATAGGATAAAGTGTATTTGTTTTTTTAAAAAATTAAATATTTTATTCAGTGAATTAAAAAGATGAATATAGCATATAAAACCTCATTTATAGAACCATCCCTCTTCTTGATTTTTTTTTTTGCTAAGCAAGAATAAAACAAAAATAAAGCCAAAGCAGAGCCTGGATACCAAGTCCACAGTGAGCACAGTATACAGGTCTAGTCATCCCGTCACTCGAGGCAACCAAAGTTCTGATGAGATTTTCCCTGGATCTTGACAGACAACTTTAAAGTTTAACTAAAAATAAACACATAAAGAAGAATTATTTTCAAAAAAAAGGAATAAAGCTTGGTGTGGGGACCCACGCTTGTGCTCCCAGATGCTAGGGGGGCTTCAAGCAGGAGGACTGCGAGGCCAGTGTGGGCAACTTAGGGAGACCCTGACTCTAAAGAGAATAAAAGGGGCTGGGGATGTAGCTTAGTGATAGAGCTCCCAGGTTTAATCCCCAGTACCACAAAAAGTTAATAAATTAAATAAAGAATAATAAATATCCAGATAAATATGTCTTTAATTCCAGTTCCTCCCAAAACCCCCACTAAAATATCAAGAAGGAATAAAAATAGTATGAACTCTAAAAGAAAACACTAAAAAAGAAGGGGAAAAAAATGTTCAAAGCTTCCATGAGAAGGAAAAAGGTCAAAAACAAAAGGCAGAAAGACTTTGAAACTTCTAACTGGCAATACTGGAAGCTCAAGAAAGTAGTTGGCAAACTATGGACCCAAGAGACACCGTGCCCACCGCCTGTTCTGTAAAGCTTTTCTGGCACAGATTACACGCTGTCTGTGGCTGCCTCCTCACTACAGCAGCAGAGGCAAAGCTGTAGCCCACAAGACCCAAACCTCTTACTACCTGTCCCTTTACAGAAAATTCACCAAACTCTACATTAGACAACAGAAGATCACCTTCAAAATACTGAGGGAACATGTACTCAACATTCCATATCCCAAACCATCATCATCATGCAATACAGGATGGTAAACATATTTTTGATTGATTGATTGATTGATTGATTGATTGACTGCAGTACTCAGGACCTTATACATCCTAGGCAAATGCTCTACCACTGAGCCACAACCCAGTCCTGGTTTTATTCTTTATTTTGAGACAGGGAATTGCTAAATTGCTGAAACTGATCTCAAGCTTGCTATCCTCCTGCCTTAGCCTCCCAAGCTGCTACAATTACAAGCATGCACTCCCTGCCCAGCAAAATAAACACATTTTTAGAATGGAAAGTCTCAAAACATTTTATTTCTCAAGCATCCTTTGTCAGAAAGCTACTGAACAGTAGGCTCCTCTAAAACAACAAGAAAGAAACTGACTTAGAAGAGTAAGAGCAATGAATCTCTAAATACTAAGCCAAAAGATGTCTAAAGCTGGAAAAATCAAGAAAGAGTCATATAAATATACTATTTATAAACATGGATACTAATATCAGAAGATACAGCTAAAGGAGTTGAAAAAGCTTTGGCCGCTAAAGAGCCAGATTCAGAAGGCAGGGAAAGATAAGTCAAAGGAGGGTTTTGATTCATTTAATAAGCTTTAGAATAGAAATCAACTTATCAAAACTAGGTTCATGTATTCACTTTGGTAATTATTAAAAGACATTAAACCAGTATTACCACCGAGTTCTAAAATTCATTATAAAACTTCTACAATTAAAAAAATAATAATATGTGCTAGAATCAAAAGATCATTAGAAAAAAGCAATCCTGAAACAGACCACAGCATTTATAAGAACTTAATTTGTAATAAAAGAAGGGTAAAGGACAGATTTCAAAACAGAGAAAGAGAAACATTGCTCAGAAGAAACAAATGTTTTGGCTTCTAGTTTGCAGGGGATTCACCAACTCCTCCACCTTAAGGACCTTAGGGACTGTGGCTGAGTCAGCAGGAAGGGCTACTCCCACCTTCAGAAATCCAACACAGGATCCCCACCCCAGCAGGCCTTGGTACTAAAGCAGGACTGACTGCTCCTGGGGTGCTGAGCTGAATCAATACCTTGGAATGATGGGTTTGGTAATCCACATAAAATTTCTAGACAAACTATTTCCCCTAAGTCTGATTTACATCTGCTCTGTGTGTAGCTAAAGGTTTTTGGTCCTGCCCTTAGTCTGCTTGACAGTTAACAGAGGAAAACTAAAATTAAAACCTTAATCTTACACCACTAACCAGTAAGCTTTAAGTGAATTACATAATCACATGTAAAAAAATTAAAATATTCAAAGGAATAAAATACATTGTTACTAATCTTTGGTTAGAAAGAACTATCCATCAAGGAATGAAAGCAATACAACAATTTATAAAGGAAAAACCTTTTCACTGTGTATAACTAGATGCCCCAAAACACTGCAAACAAAGTTCAAAGGCAAATGACAAATTGAGCAAAATATCTATAATAAATATAAGAGCCAATATTCCAAATAATGTATTTTCTAAAACTCATATCAGTTTCTTTTTTTAAGAAAACACTAATATATCAATTTAATGGGCAAATAATATGAATAGACAACTGCTAATAACACAAAAAATACATATAGTAAAACAAGACATTTTAAATGTTCTATTTTGCCACAACCAGAGAAATGTGAATCCAAACAGAAATTTTCACCCAATTGGAAAAATTAAAGGAAATAGAGCCATTAAAAATCCCATTTTCAAATAATACTTAAAGATTCAGGGACATTATAATAGGATGTCAAATAAAGATGCAGAACATGTAACTACTATATACATGATCCAAATTTTGTGGGAGAAATACTAAAGAGAAAAAAAAGTACAGGTGATTTTTATTTTCTTCTTTCTCTTTTTTTTGTTTTTCAAATTTTACATAGTGAGCAAATTTTGTAAACACAAAAAAAATTCTTAATAGACAAATCCCCAAGGCTCCATCCTAAATGTAACAAAAAAGAAACTAGTAATTTTGGTAAATTTATAAGAGCCAAGGGTTAACATCTGTTGAGTGCTTCTATAGAGATGCTGATCCGAGGCAAGGCCTGCAACCTGACTGCACCACTCCTACCTCTCCTTCAGGAAGCCACAACAGAAGTTGGAGTCACTAATATTCATCCTCATCCAGTAAAAACCTCCAGCAGCTGGCTGGCTCCCTGACCTCCCCCACTCCTCTCCTCCTGGCTTGGCTCATGGTGAATGCCACACCCACCCAGGCAGCCACCTAACACCCAGGCTGTCTGTTCCTTGAGCACTGCCCTTCCCATGAGCTGTCCCTCTCCTCCAGCTCAGCTGCCAGGCTCATCGTAACCTGTACAGCTCTCCACAAGGTATGCTGGAGCCTCAACCACTCCAGGTCACTAACTCCAGCACCCCATGGCCCCTCCACCTCATGGAAATAGCCAATCCCACCACGCTGTCATGGTCCATCTCCCCAGTAGCATCCTCATTTTCCCCACCAGCTGTCCTAGATTCCACCATTCATCACGCTCACCGCTCTCCTAAAATCCTCAACTCCTCTGCCTACTTCCTTCTATTTGTAATTTGAGAAAAAAAAATAGCCCTGGTGAAACCAGATTCTGCTTAATCAGCACCTACAACCAAACAGTTTAATATGACTTAAGAAAAAAAAAAAAAAACACCTAATCTCGCATGCTGGTCTAACTCTAATAATTAGTCTATGACAACAGGCTCCCATTTGGCCCTCAGCAGCACCTGGCCATCTACCATACCTCCCTGACCTGGCCACATTCTCCTTCTCCTCAATGAACTTCTTGAATCTCCTCTTTCCTCAAACTTCCAAATACCCTTCCCTCTCCTAATATTAGCTAATGGTCTCACTTCTCAGCTTTTGAAAGGACACTCACAGTCAAAAGAGAATCTCCCCACCTCCCCACCACTTCTTTCCTTGGGGAGGGGAAGCTGTGCCTGATGCAATGCCAGGTCACCCCTAGGCTGGATTCCAGCCTCGTCAGCTCTTCGAGGGCTCTCCTCCTGCGACTGCCCTTCCACTCCCGCAGCCTCCACTTCTCTTTTCTGTAATTCTTATCAATGTGAATAAACATGCTATAACATCTCCTATTTTTAAAAACTCCTCCCTAAATCCCCATTCCCCTCATCGACCATATAAGTAGTCAGGAGAAAAGTTTCATTTAAAAACTGTAAGAGAGACTGGAGGTGCAGCTCAGTAGTAGAGTGTGAGCTTTGCATGCGTCAGCCCTGGTTCAATCCCCAGCATCATCAAAAAAAAAAAAAACAAACAAACAAACAAACAAAAATCTATAAAAGAGTAAAATCTGATTATTTTTTAGTTAATCCTTAGTAAGTTAAATAGCATCAACCTTACCATATTTGGGGGAACATTTAAAGTACTGGACTTTTCCAACACTTCCATTGTTTTTTCCTTCTGGTTCATCTAATTCAATGCCAGCCCACTGCCCACTTGCAAATTCAGTTGTTCCACAAAATCTTAATGTCCCAACCTAAAGAAAATATATATCAAAACAATTTTTAGAATTATTAGTAATTCCAAGTATCCTCCTCCTGGCAAATTTACCAGAGAAGTCTTAAAAATTTCACTGTCTCAAAGTAGTCTTCAGAATAAGGAACACTAAATGGGACATGAAATAATAATAAAAGAGTTAACTCTTTATCAATGGAACTGAAAGGAAAGAGAGACAAGTCCACATTACAACTAGAGACTGCTCTTCAGTGCAGCTAGAATTAACCAAAATGAAAAATAAGATAAAACAACAGAATAACTCTCTTAAGGGTCCACATTCTCAGACATAGTTATAGGAATGAATACTACTAAAGATTAACACTCAATCTAAATTTAAAAAGCCATGCATTCATAATCTCCTGGTGTTTTAACTCCACAGACAGTGAAAACCTAATAAATGTCCTGTGAAGGCATTATTTTGGTAAAAGTCATTCTTGACCTAATTATTTGTAGCTTTGATTCCTTTTTGAATCAATTTTCTTAATATATCAAGTCTGTAAATTGCAATTTTCTGAAAAATCTCCATCACCCCCAACAAAACCCATTCAGATATTGAAAGGTGAAGGTGTTGGGAATTTCAGCATCCAAGCAGGAATGCCCTGTTCCAAGCTCCACACTATGTTCTCTAGTGATGTCAAAATTAAAAACAAAAACAGAACCTCCGGTGGAGCTGGAGGCTTAGCTCAGTGATGGAGCACTTGGCTAGCATGGACAAGGCCCTGGGTTCCACCCCCAGCATGGCAAAAAGAAAAGAAGGTATCAGAAAACTAAAAGACTGGCCACCACAAATGCCACACAGAAGCTGCCACTCTGAGGGATCTGCAGTCTGATGCACTGTTGGTGGGGTGGGGTCAGGGGAGGGAGGAGTCTTCCTTTGCATAGAACTCTTTCCTGTCAGGTTACATGTCCCTGTTTGTGGGATCTTGGAGCCAAACACTGAAGAACAGTAGGGTCTCCCTCACTTGACCTCTGTACTCTTGCAGTGGGAGGAGCCCTGGAGGTGGGGTGGGGACTGCACAGACAAGGGGGCTAGATCACTGCTCAGCTCATGCCTCTAAATTTATTCAGCAGCTCCACTCTGCTCCACTCTTTCCCATGCAAACACAGACACTTTCCCTATCAAGTTCTAATAAGTTTACATCCATAACTCAGACTTCATAGTAAACTTACATCTAAATTGCATATTCTCAGTCAATAAGGGACCTCCTACCTCTACATTGAACCTTTTCCCAAAAATTCAAAACTCTGACCATGCTGCACACACCTTTGAACACAGGCCATGGACATAGCTTCGGGGCCCACAGTTGCTTACTGTACCTTCTGTCCTGCGATGACCACACGATCCCCTAACTTCAAGCCGAGAGAGGTAAGCATTGACTTGGCAGTAACATGATCACAGTTTTGAAGCATGGCCTTTGTGACGCTACATGACAGGGGCACCGCATCTAGAAGCATCTGCTTGATCTCCTTAGCAGTGGCTGCAGCATCGGCCATTTCCAACGGCATGTCCACTGGATCTGGAACAACATCAGCAGGGATCTGTCCTTTGTCATTCTACAAATAAAGAGAAAATCTTCAACTCCTACTGAATTAGAGCCCTGGATGGTCACATGAAATTCTTTTATGGCAGAATTTTAAGTTAAACGCATGTATCTTTTATTTATTCAAAAATATTTACTGGACACTTACTCTATGCAAGAAGAACATATATTCTGGTGGGAGAGACAGAATTTAAACAATTAAACAAGTAAGTTATACGGTGTATTAAACAGTAGTAAGAGAAAAGGAATGAGAAAAGAAAATGAAAACAGTAGAAAAGAAAAGGAATGGAGACCCTGGGCTCAGAGGTAGGTGTAGGAGGAGTTATTAATACAGAGTGGCCAGGGAGGGCCTCCCTGGAAGTTGTGTGTATATGGAGATCCTCAGGAAATGAGGGAGAAGTGTTCTGTGTGCTGGGAAGGACAGGTTCCAAAGCCCAGGTGAATAGCATATCTGGCTGCTCAGGTACAGAGAGGGCAAGCTTGGAAAGAGAAGTCACAGGGCTGACTGGCTTTCCATTCCCAGATCCAACCACAGCCATGCACCACTTAAAGATATTTTGGTCAATAAGGGACCATATATACAATAGTGCTCCCATAGACTGAATAACCTTGTGATGGCACAGCCACTTAGGTAAATGCACACTATGATGTTCGCACAAGGACAAAATCACCTAGCAATGCACTGCTTTAAATGCATCCCCATCATTAAGGAACACTGACTACAATCCACTACTCCACCGCTGCCACCTGGGATTGGTGACCTGGGCCTCCTGTCCACTCATGAAGTAACTTAGATTTCAGAAACAGAAACTATAGTTCTCATGTTTCTAAAATTTGGCCTATTGTCAAGAGACATGCTCTTTAGCACTATAAAGAAGAGACTGTAGCCTGGAATTTATCCTGTGACAAGACACCAGACACAAACACACTTTATCAGCATGGTGTCCATATAACGAAAACCCTGTTGTACAAGCCATCTCCCTTCCTTCTCAGGTCAGGGAAAAGCTTGTGAACAAAGCAGAATCCCTGCCCTTTGCAGGTTCATATTAAAGTGGAAGAGACAATAACCAATTAAATAAAAAAATACTGAAATTTCCAGTATGCCAATTAGGAAAATCAGAGATAAAGAGATTAATGGCTCAAAATCATTGATATGATTTCTGGCAGAGATGATGTTACAGTCTCAGCCGTCTGCACCCTAACCTTGACCCAACCAAGTCCTTGGCCTTCCTATTCTCCATACTATGCTTCCCTTAGAAAAGACACCTTCCTTATTTTCCCCAACCAAAAACCTTGGACTTTATGAGAAAGTCCAGGTTTCTCAATCTTTTTTAATATGATGAATCAAGATAGTTTTGTTAATGGAAAACCATTTCTTCTCCTCTACTGATGATCTTCAAAGAATCCATACAGATTTTTAAAGTTAAGGCTTTAAGTGCACACGTGGTTTGCAGCTGCCCAACATTTTGTTGTTGTTATTGTTGTTTGTTTTAAAACTCAAGTCAGCTTGGTCCTGAGTAAAAATGAGAAGGGAAGACCTGTTCCCAGATTTCTGCGATGGTGATGGACTACTTAAATCTGATATTTCAAGGAAAAATACAAAATACAAGAAACATATGCATAGCACTGATATGTATTCCTAGAGAGATGAATACACGTGGAGAAACACAAAAAAATTTTTTTAAAAAAGAGAGAATTTTAATATTTTTTTTTAGTTTTCGGCGGACACAACATTTTGTTTGTATGTGGTGCTGAGGATCGAACCCGGGCCACACGCATGCCAGGCGAGCGCGCTACCGCTTGAGCCACATCTCCAGCCACCCCCCCCAAAAAAATTTAAACACTGTGCTGATGAGTCATAAGTAGTCTTGTATCTTTTGTAGGGTCCTCACTTTTTTTTTTTCTTTTTTTGTACGTTGTACTGTTGAACTCAGGGGCTCTCTATCCCTGAGCTACATCCACAGCCCTTTTCA